GCTGTCGGGAGCTTGTCCAAAATTTAAAATGAATGTTAATGTGCCTTATTATGTTTATTACTTCTCGTTTGGACGGAAAGAGGTCACTGGGGAACGAGACGAGTTTTGACCTATTGATGATTGCGGCACATCATCGCCGTACATGAAATACGAATTATTAACTTAACCCTATGACCCAGTTCTGCATAAATAAATGTATACTCATTCTGAGCATAATATTATAAGTATTCCAGTATTTCAGTTCCGGTATGTTGCATGTGTGGTAGAGGAATGTTACGTATGTACAACGGTTGCCTAATTCAAACTCACGCTTCATTCATTACTTTTACTATTATTGTCCATCATCAGAACCACATTGCAAAGTTAAACTTGCTGCAATATGCTACTGCTAACTGTCATGTCATGGGCCTAATTTGCATCTCATTTCAGACACACGGAATATACCCCTATCATTCATTAAATTACTGCAAATTTGATGTAAATCCAAACATTGTACGTCGTATGCGTTTAAATAATTTTTCTTGTATACCCTTTTCCCCATCCTCAGGTAATATGGTCCTGTGAGGTCTCGTCAAAAATATTGACATTTTTTATTAATCGTGTTCATTAGATCACGCGGCTGATGTACATAACCTTGTAATATTTGGACTATTTTGAATGGCAGCTTGCAAGTACTAAGTACGACAATGACCCTTTGGGTTAATGTTAAATTCACATAAACATGTGTGTGCTATAGTTATTTCAGCGAGAAATAAAGAACTTGAAGATTGTAAGAAATGTGTGTACCAGTTTCCAGTCAATGGGCGATTTGTGCAGGAAGTTGGCTTTCTCTCGTCCTTGCTTCCAGTTCCATGATAATAAGCAGTGGGGTAGATCTGGAAAACGATTGAGATTTTTACTTTATATCATAGTTGAGTAATCGGGGTACATTTTCAGGTTTTAAAGCTATGGACAAGTCCAAAGATTTGTATTCTACCCAAATCATTGTACCCCTCAATTAAATATAAGAAGTAAATATATAAATGAAAGAAAAATCGGAACCAAGTTTCTTACCGGGTCGTTTTCAAATCCGGTTTCTTCAAATACTCCGTAACGAAACTTCACAAATTCCTTGACAAAGGTACGCTCTAGAATTATAGAAATTATATTTAGTCACCTTATGCGCTTATTTTGTCACATTAGCGAGTGACATGGAATTTGCATGGAAAACCCGTGTCATAGTGAGATTTATGTAAACGAGATGATCCGCAACATTAATTTTAGAATATCTTTAGTCATCAATTGTCAGTTCGAAGACGGATATGTATTTTAAACATCAGGTCGAGCTTGGACTTGGTTGTACGGGATTTGGGAGTAGCAATTAAAAACTAATATGAAACTAGATATTTTGAAAGAATGAAATATGTGACGAAACTAGGCTCATACACATACATCAATGCTCATAAATGCTCATTCCCTAATTCTGCAAAGCAAAGAAAATAATAAAAATCCACCCAATAGTTCTAGGCGACAAATTTACTGCAAGAGTAAACGTTATCTTTTCGCCAAATCGGTTTAGTTAATGTGAGTTTCCTTACAAGGTGAAGAATATCACTGTCAAATGTGCCAAAAATGTAAAAAAAACTAAACTCGACATATCCAGATTCTCATCAGAGTTAGAACTTTAAAAACACTATGCACGTGCACAAATGAGAGTCGTCTCACAATGAGTGCTATGAAATATTCAAAAATTACCTCGGCTAGATTAAAGCAAATGCACTTTAGGAACACGAGCAGTTTATGTTAGTTTAGTGTAGTTTAGTATAGTTTAGTGAAGCATATGCAACGTGTTTCACGATAATGAAGACACTGAATTTCTAAACGAGGGAGGAATTTTGTTCCATATCGCATCCTTACTCATCCAGGTGAATGAAGTAAAAGGAAGGCGGAGAATTCCATTTACATTCTAATTTCTTTTTAAAGCTTCAACTAACAAGAAAGAAATGAGTGTTTCGCACGAAACACAAAACCAACAACTTAGAAATGTTGATTGCCATTGCCACAAGGACTCCCTGACCAAACAAATTTTACACAGCCAAATGTAATGGCACAGAAGTTCTCAAAACAATACCGAATTTGAAACAACTTTGGCCATTCAGTTCACCTCGCTTCCAATTTCGAGCTTCGTTTCATTCATTATAAACTTATCGTTTCCGCTTTCATGAAATGTCTATAAGCAAGGTGCTTGGTGTGCGGCTCGTCTCGCCAAGTAAAACTAACTGGTAATATAAGTACTAATTAAATACACAATTGTAATGGAATCTGGTCTTATAATCTGGAGTAATTCCACCTGCAGGTCTTGCGGGCTATCTTATAAAACAAGCGTCATATAAATAGTTTCCAGGTTTTCTACATATAAATTACTATATAAAACATATATAATTACATAGTTGATATTATCAGCTATTGCATAATGTTGATTATTACATGTTATGGATATTATTGTTTGCATAGGAGCTAAGTCCAAGTTTTGAAAACTAGTTACATAATCTTTATAATGAAAATTTGATAATTCTATTTATTTGCAGCAATTATTTTTTTTACTTCTATCAACGTTCCTCGGAATAATTTCAGTTGATTAGAGTTTTATTAATAGCCAGGGTCACAAGGACGGACCAAATTCAAAACGCAATATTTGCTACCGTCACTGATTTTTTTACCATGTGAAAGGTAAAATTATTCCATGTCAATAATGCAATTATCTAATTTTCAATTTCATTTCATCCCTCCTGTGAAAAGGAAATCCTGTCAAAGTGAGTGGGATTATGACAGCTTGTGTGTGATTGTTGAAAGGGGTTTGATTAATAACAACATTTATATAATGTTTGTCGACGTTGATAAGTCATAGATATTAATTAGTAAGAGAATTCACACGACTTTGATCATCAGCATAGCAATATTTTGTGAATTTATGCTTATATGCACATATGTATAGTATCAAGCGACGGATTTATACCTGGAGTCGAATGTCCAGCCTCAGTGTCGTTGTACTGAAGAACGTACTGGAAACCAGCGGAAATCATGTCGCCCTGTTGCCCACATCCCTTGCTCTGCTGAGTCCAAGGGTTATGCCTGTTCAAAACAAGGTTTCGTTGCAAAAAGGCGATGATAATAGTGATGATAACTTCATATCACGTGAATTGCCTTATAATTATTTATACTTACCCGAACACCGGATGTTCTCCTCCGATTCGGAATTGAGAGTCTCTGATACTGCTCGCACTCGTGTATGAATTGGGCAACATCTTGCCACAAGCTCCTATCAAACACAAACATTTTCTCTCAATGCATCACATTTGAGTTGTCTTTAACACATTATTCAGGCCATGTCAAATGTCATTCAGATGTGTATTCAGACACAAGTTGTTTGTATATATATAACTTACGGTAGTCCCAGGCAGCGGGAGAATTATGTGCACTCGGTGGAAATAAGCCCGGCCTTTCGTAGCTGTGTTCAGGTACTCACTGGCAGATGTGAATATCAACTGGAAGAAAATACACAAAGGAAGAACTATTAGTTTGATTAATTTCAGGGCTTTACCTTCATCACATTCTTCACTCTTTACTTTCACTCAAACTTTCTCACACCGAAAATAGCAAAGTCCGTGGAGCATAGTGTGGGCAAGAAGTAGGTGTGTGCATATATACTTACGATATACATATATGACAGGAAAATGATAAGACGCACACGCACCAAAGCCCACAAATAAATAGATAAGAAGAAAGCATTTTAAAGCAAAGTGTGTGGTTTCATTTTATTCTAATAAAGCGTTTATCTTGTTAGAATGCGTATGACACACGCAACTTTCTTTTTATCTCTTCGCCATGAAATGTCTCTTATGATCAAATAGTAAAATCCATTTTATTTTGAAATCGTTTTCGCTGGCGTGAAGAAAGAGAATTGTTTGATTCAATTCGAGAGACAACTCTTTCTCAGTAACAAATGGTACGCTATAAGTAGATACGTAACGTGTGTATGTACGGTGGGTGGTGGTTTAGTTCAATTTTGTTGCAATGTTTGGGCTTGGATGGATAAGGTTGGTAAGTTGACTGATATTTGCGAGATGTGGCGATTTTGTGGTGCGTCCGTGATTCTCGTTCGTAAGATCTTTGGAATCGGCAAGATCACGGCAGACATAAATCAATTTCAGCATCCGAACCCATCAGTGCCAAACTGTTCCGAATAGAAATGTTACCCCATACGGATACCACCAATTTATGTCGATGGTAGCAGGAGCAGTGGTGGCGGAAAGACGGGAAATACGGAGAAAGAAGATGGCCTGGCCTATCTTGCTAGAGCCCGATCCAAATCCAGAAACCCAGGGTGGGAAAGAATATAGAAGGAACGGGAGCAGATGCAATTTGGTTTTGGATGCATTTGGTTGAGCTCTCAGCCCACTGATTCGCATCCATTCTTCAAGATTTAACACCTTTAACTGTCGAGAATGTCATAACCCCTGGAAAATCTCTCAGCACATTTTTCCTCCTCGGAGATATTTCTCAACCCCAGAATTCCTCATCAAATTCTGTCATTTTTAATGAATCTTGTAAAACTGACAAGAAATTCACGAACGATGGCAGACTTGATGTTAGTAAACGTGTATGATGATGGATATCATGATTATATAACAAAGGTTCAGTTTTCAACGAGACCTATGGGTTTGCATAAATTCTCCTTATAACGTTTCAATTCGAGGATGAATGACATGATCATTTGTACAATGTCCCATCCATTCAGCATCCGCATAAAATTGTTTTCTTGGGTTGGGGAAAGGAAATTGGAATATGCATTATTTTTGGTTAATTGGTGGAAATCTCATTGCCCACATTTGCAGAGAACGAATCAATTTTGTTTGTGCAATAATGAATCCAATTTGAAAGTTTGTGCTCCTATCCATTATTTTAATCATTAATCATCAACATCTCCAATCAGAAAGTGTGCGAGGAGGAGGACAAATAAGTAATTTCAATTTAATCGCATTAATGATGTAATGATCTTTATGTGAAATTAGGCAAAGACTTGGATCCATTATTCGTCCTATTATTTAGATTGCTAGAAACTTTATAACTAGATCAAGATGTGCACATGCGATGATGGAACCGTGACCGTAATATAAACCTCTTAATCCATTTCCCTCTATAAGTGAAACAATGAACAGGAAGGTGAGTAAGTACTTATACGCAATGTACGTATGTGTTGGGGCCACCGCGAGTGACATTTTTGGGACATGATTGAACAAAAAATGTGCGTGCAAAATCACAGTAGTGTTGAGTGAAAAGAAGCCTGTCTTGCATTGCACTTTTTAGTTCTCTTCACATCAAGTCAGTGGAAGAGAGAGAGCTGTCAATTCAAATCTTTTCGTTCCAATCGGAATCATCATTACTCATCCGGTCAGATGGCCTGTGGTGGCTTCCGAATTTATTCTGTCAAGGAAAATGGTTTACGAGTAATGCATACATGGCTATGACATACGTGATCTCAACCAGGATGAGTTTGATACCCATCAATGTGAACGAAAGCTCTGAATCTCGCATCTTTTCTGTGACATGCGACATATAGAGACATCTCACCTTCTTACGTATTGTGTGGAGAACAGTAATTGAATTTCTTGCTATCTGTTCAGTTCATTCATCTTTGTTGATTGGAGTTGTGGTTGATTTTATAAGATTAACATATGCACGTAGCGGCCCAGCCAGATTCGTTGTTAATTCACCTTGAAACCTCACTTGTTGTCAGTTGTCACCCACAAATAAAATTATTTATTTGGCTCGGTTAAGAATTTGTTCTTTGATTTGATTGGAATTGCATATCGGCATTTCTTGTCGTGCGGGCGAGAAATTTGACATGAAAACGTGGTCTGATCACAATTGCTGAAAACGCTATGTGATTGCTACGTGATTCAACGATTGCGCACTTTAAAAGACACAATACTTGTAATTTCTCATGATTTTCAAATATAACTCATTGGAAATATTGATTTTTTATGTATTATTTCAAGACTCCCTCCGGTCATTATTTCCACTCTCATTATAGAAATAAAGAACGGCAAGACAAAGGGAAGAAGAAAGCACGTTCAGCGATTCCATTCCATTTATTTCTAAAGACAGAAAATGTTGCGACAACCCCTACAAGGCCACGGAAATAAAAGAATAGAGCAACGAAGAAACCCTTTAATTATAAAATGGAACTCAAGTTAATGCATCGACACAATTATCCCACACCACAAGAACCGATGACTAATGAGTTGGTTGATGGCGCATGTGGGCTGGGTTGCAGACCGTTTCAATAGAAAAAGAATTGCTAGAATTGAATTCAAAATCGAACACATTTAGATTAGTTCGAACAGTTTGAGTCCTCCCTCGTATCTTATCAATCTCGAATCTCGAAAATGACGGCATCATATCATAGACGACGAGGACACTTCCAAGCCTCGGGTACAAATTGCCGTAAGAAATGTATACAAAAAATGTAATGGATTGGTGGATGCATAAATGCACCTTCTGCTGGAGACTGGTCCAGAAAAACTGGAAAGATTTTCAGATGATGGAGGCAATTAAGAATCTGTAACCCTTTTGACACATCCTTTTATAATCCAACAAGTAAAATTGGTGGTTGAATTATTTGAGAATGGTGCTATTTACACGATTGATTAAAAACAAGAGACAAAAGTACTCCGAGTGACCAAAGAAGTCGACTCAAGACTCACATACATAAAAAGAAAGATGCATTGTAAATGTACTTTTCTTTTTCTTCTGCCACCAGAGACGTGAACTTCACTTCTGCTCTTGAGCTTAAGAAGAAGAAGAAAAAATGAAATTCAAGTCCACGACGACGTTCCTTGAATGAAAGTGTAGCTGAGTGCTCTAAAGATTTTCAAGAGTATATCACTCACATTGCATAATAATAATACTCTAAAGATCCCAAGACTGCTCCAACTCGAGAAGGCAGCTCGTCGACCACTCCAGTCAACTGGATCGAGTTGTTGGTTGAGGAAAGAAATGCATCGCGATACGTACCTTCACCCACTCCATTCTCATTTTATGGGTACACAGACGGAGATGAGACAGTGGAGTGAGAAATGATGAGGGAGACATCAAAACGGAATTTTGGGTGCCAGAAAAATTATTTGTGTATGCAGAATGCGACTTTCACCTAACAGTGTACCGACTCGAAAATAAAAGTTCTGTCGGTTTCCCTCGTATATGAAATTGAGATCAACGTTAAATTAACGTCAAATCAGTTTCGCTGAAGGGATGATTCCACTTTTAGCTCCTGCTCCTGTAAGGAAGACCGATTTGTTACTCGCTAAAGTTTTTTTGGGAAAGATGAGTCTGGAGCAAGGCCTAACGTTAAACAGCGTACAAGTGTGTACATGTGTTTATTAGATGGAAGATCCTCAGCTTTGACTTGGTCTTAATAAGTTACGGTCACAGTTGTAATTTAATTCATTGCTGTGAGCAGATAATCCATCCCATATTTCATGGGTTTACGAGATCTCACTTTTAAATCCATTTCCTCTCCTGCAACCAATGGCACACACGAACGAGCAGAGTTGCAAGTCGTGGAATTGAAGAAGGAAGAAAAAGTTGGTGCAAAGTCAGCCAGGTAGAGAACATTGAATTATCTATGTAGAGAGGCCGAGAGCGAGGTGTGATCATAATAAGACTTCTTTCTTGTTCAAATCGCATTTCTCCAATACTTGTCCATCCTCAATATGCTCATTACTGTAAATGCAATAGTTTTAGTTCACTCTGGTCGGATGACTTACGAGATGAAATATGTCTTGAAATTTTGGAATCGTTATATCCTCATTAGTTTTAGTTTGCTTCGTTGTGCAGTGTAAGGAAGAAATAATGCGAGTAATCCAGTACACGAGATAATAATATAAAGCTTGCATACAGCTATCTACGCTGTACGCACTATACTGTTCGAAAAGCGACTGCTAGCAATAAAGGATGCAACAATGTCAGCTATACATCGTTGAATACATCATCCACGTTGTGATCTCTACGTGTACAGCAGCGGTTTAGGTACATACAACTCGAGATAAAATTATTATTTACAAGACCACAATTCCAAATCGTAAATCTATAATTTGTTCTCTCTCGGAAGACATAACAAGTCTTCCTCCTTGAACGCCGGATAATGAATGTAAAGGTTTGGTGCTGTCCATATGAAGAAAACTAAACCACCAATCAAATAATTTTTTGAAGAAGGTTGTAAAACTCTTTCGAGTTTGAAGGGAGAGTACGAATTAAGTAAATTACATTAGTTTTCCCTCTTCTGCTCTGCTGATGCCGGAATAACGAATAGGACCTTCAGCATACATACATTTAGTATACATACTTTTTTGTTGGTCTACGAACTATTTTTTGTGGTAGTCTAACAAAACCTAATC